GTGGCTTTGGAGGCTGTCCTGGAACTAGCCCTTGTAGACCAGGCTGGTCTCGAACTCACAGAGATCTGCCTGCCTCCCGAGTGCTGGGATTAAAGGTGTGGCCCACCAATGCCCGGCCATCCACCCAAATTTTTACGAGTTTGGGGATCCATGTTCAGGTCTTTATGCAGGCACTTTACTGACAGCCATCTTCTGAACTTCTTGGTTTGATTTTTTTAATTAAATTTTTTTAAATTTTACATGTACAAGCATTTTGTCTACATATATGTTAGTGTACCACATGCATGCCTGGTACTTGTGGATACCTGTGACTGGAGTTACAGGCTGTTGTGAGCTCCCATGTGGGTGCTGGGAACTGTGATAGGGTCCTCTGCAAGAGCAGCTGTTGCTCAGCCAACTGAGCCATCTCTCTAGTCCCAATGGTTTGGTTTTCCGAGGTAGGATCTTAATAGGTGCCTCAGTCTGACCTCAAACCTACAGCCACAGAAGCTGTTTAATGTTGTGGTGATAGTGCCTGTGGTTCAGGTGCTTCTAGGAATTGTAACCTCTCTCAGCTACACAGGTGGGCAGGAGGTCAGCATGGTGAAGGCCTTGTCATCAGAGTCCCTCAAGGGACAGTAGTTACTGAATAGAGAGACTCTGTGGCCTAGCCAAGGAGAAGGACTGTCATACGGAACCCAAGGCTGAGGGTAAAGGTAAGGCCAGGACATTGAATACCCCCATACTGGGCATTTAGTTGTGGATGCCTTCCCTGGGGGAGGGAGGTTTTCTGTGAGACATGAGGCAGTGTTGAGAAGGCTGGCCATGGTGCCTTGGGGAAGACGTAGTCCAGGCACTAAAGTCCTGGAGTCATTGTGGACCCCCAGAGTAGCAGTGCTGGCACCTGTTGGCTTACACCGTAGGATAAATTGTGCCCTCCAAAGGACATACAGGAGCCCTAACCCAGGTGCCTACAGATGTGACATTATTTGGAAACAGGTTCTTTGCAGGTGCCATCACAGTTGATTGGGGTGGAATATGGCTGGAGTCCTCGTTCAAAGAGGACATGTGGCCAGGCAGTGGTGGCACATGCCTTAAAATCCAACACTCAGGAGGCAGAGGCAGGCGGATCTCTGTGAGTTTGAGGCCAGCCTGGTCTACAGAGTGAGTTCCAGGACAGCCAGGACTACATAGAGAAACCCTGTCTTGGGGGGTGGGCATGTGGGCACAGATGTGTAAGACCACTAGGTGGAGATGCACATAGATCAGGAAGTGTGTCTGCCAGCCAAGGATAGCAGACTGCCGGTGACACCGGAGAAAGGCCTGAAAAAGACTGCATGGACCGAGCAGAACTGACCTGATGGCTTCTTGACTGCAGCCATGTAGCTAGCCTTTCAAACAGAGACTGAGCGGCCAACCTGGCCTTGACGTTCTTTTAGTTTCCCAGAGCAACCAGCAACCCACAGGCAGGTGGGGCCGGGGCAGCCGACCGGCAGCTGCTGCCCCAGTGGCCTGTCCTCTTCCTCCTCCTCACCCGGTACTGAGTCACTTGTCTGGGGCTTCTGCCACTGGGATAGGTGTCTGGGTGCTTTATACAGGCCAAGAGAGAGGAAGGCAAAAGAGGTGGGACCACCCCATGGGGGGTGTTTATAGCCCAAGCCTGTGATGCACACCCCTGGCCAGAGGAAGCTTGGGAGCTGCACCCTGATGCCTCATGACCTAGCCAGCCTTGCCCTCTCCCAGGGCCCTCCTCTGCTTCCGCTTTCCCCTTCTCTTTTTCCAAATCAGTAAGTCCATAAAACGTGCCAGCTCACTCCAGACATTAGCTGGGTAACTGCTGAGAGCCCAGGCTCTGCTGGAGATCTAATGGTGATACCTCTACCCTCCAGGGGCCAGCATGTCACATGCTGGCCAAGGGGCTGGAGCTGCACCCCAAGTCAGGGCCTAAACCACAGGGTCCTGGGAGAAGAGTGCTGAATGGATCTTACTGCCCAATGCTGGGGTCCTGTGTACCAGGGAACAGTACCCCCACTCCTTGTAGTGAGCCCATCCCACCCCCACCGCACCCCTGCTTCCCTCAAAGGTGGCCTTACCAGGTCACAGCCACCATGACAAATAGGATTTGGTATATTCTTTTTTTTTTTTTGGTTTTTCCAGACAGGGTTTCTCTGTGGCTTTGGAGGCTGTCCTGGAACTAGCTCTTATATGGTATATTCTTTTTAAAATCCTTTTTAGTTACTATACGGAGTGATGGGTTTCTTTTGGTTTAAAACTTGGTCTCGTCTAGCCCAGGTTGACCTAAGATGCATTTGGTTTTATTCGTTTGTTTTGAGACACGACCTCATCTCTCTCAGGAGGGCCTTTAATTCTCTATGTACCCAAGGATGACCTTCAATCCTGACTCTCCCATCTGTATCTCTGCAATGCTGGGATTACAGGTGTGGCCACCACACCTACTTTATGTCGTCCTGGGGATTGGACTGGGAGTTTCACGCAAGCTAAACCAGCCCCAGGCCACCCGGACTACAGCCCCAGCCCTGATCGGTTTCTGAGTCCCATAATGCATAGCCTTGTGCTTTTCAAACCCACCCATCCACCTTTTTCCCACCCCTCTCCCTGACAACCAATTTAATTTAATTTGCCCCACCCATCCCCAAGCAGGGAGGGATCTCACTGTCTGCTCTCCCTCTCAGAGATGAAGCTGGGGCCTGGGCCAGGGAAGGAGGGTTTGGAGTCCACTCCTGCTCTCGACAGGCTCCTCCCACTCAGGGTCAAGTGCGGGTGATGAAAGATAGAAGGCTGGCATGGGGGAGCAAGGGCTCCTTGGGGCTTCCAGGACAGCTCCTGTTTGAAGCTATGGCTCCCCAAAGCAGCTCGACTGCCACTGCTACATCAGCGCAGCCCCGCCCCACAGACAGCATTCTGTTGTTCTCCCAACGGAACAGAAAAATCAAATGGAAAGATGATCTGCAGCAAGGAGTCGTTCCAGGGCGTCCTGCTCAAGGGAGTTTTAAAGGGGGCACAAAGGTGTTACTGAGAACCAGGGACAGGCAGCCAGGGCACGATCCCCCCCCCTTAGCCAGGCCTAAGGACCTCTGATGCCAGGCAGGAGTGGGAAGCACGTCACCTGGGACCAAGCTCGCTTGGGCACCATGTCCAGGAGAGGGAAGGCTCCGGAAGGAGAGTAGATGGAACCGGGCAGGGGAGGGGCATGGCATCAGTGAGTGCTAGGGTTCACAGTGCACTTCAGGGAACTTGGAATGATTCAGGCTTGGAACGTAGCCTGGTTCCATAGAGCGCTTGCCCAGCGTGCAGGAAGCTCAAGATGCCATCACCCCAGCACTGCATGAACCTGGCACGGGGAACGGCTGGGAGAAGATCCCTGCAATCCCAGGACTGGAGAGGTGGAGGCAGGAGGAGCAGGAGTTCAAGGTCATCCTCAGCTACATAGCATGTTCAAGGTCATCCTCAGCTACATAGCATGTTTGACCAGTCTGGGTTACATTAGACTCTGTGTCTAAAGTCAACAACAACAAAAAAAGTATTCTTGCTTAGATCCTAGATGAGAAAGGGGGAGGGGGTGTTGCCTCAAAGGGAGCAGCCACAAGGTTGACAGGCAGACAGAGGCAGTGAGGGCTGGCTGGGCATGTACCCCCTAAAATGTCCTTCCCTTCCCAGTCTGGCAGTGGGAGGGAACCTAACCATCTATTCATGGCTCATAGGGACAAGGAATGAAGGGTCTCAGGGGCTGGGTGTATACACCTGGTCTGGCTCCTGACACTAGGTCAGGTGACCCTCTCCTCCTGGCCCCAGCAGTAAATGCCCCCGAGCAGCAGCAGATTTTAAGGTCTGGTGCAAACTGGCTCAGCCTCAAGGAAAAGTTGAAGAACCAAAGGCAATTGTCCTTCAGGTGACCCTCTCAAGTGCTGCAATGCCACTATTGGCCAGCAGGAGGAGACAAAAGACAGCACTCCCTTTCTCCAGGTGCCAGCACCACAGGTGAGGAGGAGTTTCCCAAATGTGGCTTTCTCTGTGCCTGGAAACTTGGGGGGGGGGGGTGTAGAGAGTTGGGACAGTGTCTCTTCCTATATAGCCCTGGATCTTCTGGAACTCATTATATAGACCAGGCTGGGCTTGAACTCCGCGATCCACATGCCTCTCTGGTCTGCGGATTCATTCCTAGGTCCTCAGGTGAGCTTTTATACCCTCTGCTGGGGCAAGGTCCCTTCCCAGCACCCACCCCAGAGGTTCTGTGGAGCTGTCCAAACTCAGGACTCAGAGAGTCAGCTCCTGGGTCCAGCTGCATGGCTGGCCTGAAGCACCACAGAGTTTGGCATAGCCAATTCCCAATGGGCAGTCTAACCAAGTGTCTCTCCAATCCTTTAAATGCAACACTGAGAGTGTAAGGAATCTGTGGTCCCGTTGCAGAGTCCTCAGAAGAGTTGTGAGGAAGGAGCGTATGACAGTGCTCTGCTGCCCTTAGGTTGGGACTGAATACCTCTGTGCCCAGAATCACGGGCCTTGCCCCTCAGCTTCACTCACCAGCAAAGTCACCACCAGTGTCAGCATCAGCCTGGCACATGCCCTCTGCATCCTGTCGGCCTCTACATCCCGACTCCGGCCTGGCTGGTGCTTGGGACTAGAAGTCTGTGGAAACAACTTTGAGTGGGCTGACTGGTGGTGCCTGACCCTGTGCTGTGGAGTGCAGACTGCTTGGTGTCACTGTGCATACCCTCCTGACACCTACCGGGCTATCCCTGTCTGCCACTGTGTCCCAGTCAGGCGTGATGGATCCCAGGAGTCTGGGCCTCCCACAGCCTCAGCTTTGGCTCTGCACCTGCCCAGGGTGGGGCATGAGGTTTCTCTTCCCACCCCTCCAGGGGTGATCATGTGCCTGGTCATCCCCCCACTCTTATCTCTGCTGCTGGCTGCACACGGCCCTCCCGGCTAGACGGGGCCCCTGCTCCTTTGTCCTTTGGACTGGGGCGGGGACCGGTTTCTCTCTTATACAAAAGAGGGTGGGATAGGGCCCAGGGAGGGAAAAGGAGGGCCAGGTCACTAGCCAGAGGCCTGGTGAGGGGAACATGTTCTAAGAGGGTACAGTGAAGGTGGGGGGCCTCTTCAGTGCAAATGCTTAGACCTGGTTCCACAGACCCAGATGGCAGAAGGAACGTCAGGGAGACATTGTTCCAGCCAGAAAGGACACAGCTGGGCCTCAGGCATGGGCAAGAACCTTCTCTTGCTCCTCAGTATGCATGGGGGCTAGAAAATCGCACATCCCACCTCAGGGCTGGCCTTAAGATACTTATGAGCAGGGAACCCAGCTCACACCATGGTGGTCAGGGGCCTGCAGCTCCATGGAACAGCAGGTGGGCATCTCTTCCCTGAGCGGAGTCATGTTCTCACAGCTGCCCCTCCACCTCTTTCTCTGGCTAGGTTCACAGCTTTGTGCATGGTGGCTGTGGTTTTACGTGGTCCCGTTCTGTGCTGGCTGCTGGCATGCTGGGTGTGCTGCTGTGTGCTAGTCCTGGGCTCCTCTGAAGACAGACACAGGACCCACCCATGGCAGGCAAGGATACTCGCCCTCATGGTGTTGTCTTCTGCTGTGGAGTCCACGGTGAGAAACAGAGGGCACTGGGGGACCTAGCAGGCAGGGCCGAGCAGGATCATCTGTGCCTGCCTTGCCTTGTACCTAAAGGTGGCCGCTGCTCCGAGGTGGTTGGGGGGGGGGGAGGGGTGGCATGGCAGAGGCAGATGGGAAGCAGGATCAGAATCTGAGATTGAATTCTGGGTCCCTGGACCACATGCTACCCACACCTTCCTTCAGCCTAGAAAGCTTCCTGGACTTCCAGCCTCCATCCTTCTGCAAAAAAGGTGCTCACTACGGGCTCCTAGTATCTCAGCCATCTTTCAGGGGACTCTGGGTACAATTTCACGAGGTTTGATGTTTGTCTTCCCAGAAGAAATTAAGCTGAGGGTGACATTTGCCCAGGCTACCAGCGGGGGGTGGAGAGCGGTGGGGGGGGGTGTTGGTGGAGGTTTCTGCCCCAGGCGCTCCACTTTATAACACTAGGCGAGCACAGAGCTGTGAAATTTGATTTCACTCCTCTAGAACAGAACAGGGGTGTGTGATTTCATTCCCAGGATTATGACAAAGCCACTTGTTCAGTGGCTTAATAGAAACTCCTTTAATGTCTCTGGCAATAATAAAATCCCCAGGTTCTCACCGGGGCAGACATTCGTCTCACTAAGAGGTTGCAAGGAGCACGAGGTGGGTAGATTCCCACTCCACAGATGGGACCCGACTTCCTGAGCAGACGGAGGGAAACCAGAGGGGATAAAGAGCGAGCCTTGCGGGCTGCTCCAGTCCCAGTCTCTGACCCCAGGTGAAGGCCATACGCATTTACCCAAGGGGCCTCTTCAAATCCAAGGCCTCCTCTGGCTGGATGTGGTAGCATGCGCCTGGAATCCCAGGACTCTGGAGCCAGAGGCTGAAGTTCAAGGCTATCTTGGGCTGTGAGACACTCTCAAATTTAAAAATTTAAGAGCCTACTTGCTTCATCAGCATATACACTAAACTTGGAAGGACACTGAGATCAGCATGCTCTATACAAGGATGAAATGTAAATTGTGAAGTGTGTGTGGCATATGTGCATTTGTGTATGGGTGTGTTCATGCGTGAGGAGCACGGGGGAGGACATCAGCTGTTCTGCTATATCACTCCCCTCCTTTTTTTCTGGAGACAGGGTCTCTCACTGAGTCTGGAGCTAGACATGTGACCCAAGAGCCCCAGTGATCCTCCTGTCTGCCCCTCACAGTGTTGGAGTTACAGGTGCATGTGTGGCTATGCCCGGATTTTTACATAGGTGCTGGGGATTTGAACTCAGATCCTTGCGTTTGCACAATAGGCACTTTTTACCCACTGAATCTTCTACCAGCCCTAAATGTTCTTCTGAGAGAGAGTGTGTGTGTTATCAATGCATCACCAGGAGAAATAACCAATTGGGTGGTATCCACAGGGGATGAGAAATTACAACTGGCCTGTGATTTACAGAGGATATAAAAATGCTAGTCAACAGTTCCTTTTGAGTAAGGATTTTATAGTTTCTATAAAAGTGATGCATACTTGTTATAAAATATAATCATGAAAATTCCAGGAAGGAACCAAGTATCCTCCAACTGCAGCCCCCAAAGCCTTTGACACTGCCGTGTGGAGATGGTAGACAGTGAAGCAGTGATGAATGGAGCCACCATGACATGTTGGCATGTTTAAACTCAGCTGCTCTTGGCTGCTAAGTACGGAGCTGTTCATTTGGTCATTTGTCAGATGCACTAAAGACGTGGGAAAATGACAGACGTCTGAATATTGCAGGTCTGGCGATATGTGCCTGAAATTCCAGCACTGAAATGAAGACTGATGCCGAGTTCAAGATCAGCCGTGGCAACAGAGTGAGAGCCTCTCAAATGAGCCAAACAAAATGGCCGAGGAGACGGCTCAATCATCAGAGTGCTTGCCATGCAGGCTTGAGGACCTGAGTTGGATCCCAGCACCCTTATTAAAACAAAACAAAGCTGGGTGGTGGTGGCACACACCTTTAATCCCAGCACTCGGGAGGCAGAGGCAGGTGGAACTCTGAGTTCGAGGCCAGCCTGGTCTACTGAGAGTTCCAGGACAGCAAGGGCTATACAGAGAAACCTTGTAATGAAAAACCAAAACAAAAAACCCCAAACAACAACAAAACCAACTAACCAAAAACAAACAAACAAACAAACAAACAAAAAAACCCAAACCAACCAAACTGGTAATGTTTACACATGTCTGTAATCTAGGTCTATGGGGGCTGGAGACAGGGGCATTACTGGGGCTTGCTGGCCTCCAATCCAGTCTTTTTTTTTTTTTTTTTGGTTTTTTGAGACAGGGTTTCTCTGTGGCTTTGGAGGCTGTCCTGGAACTCGCTTGGTAGTCCAGGCTGGTCTCGAACTCACAGAGATCTGCCTGCCTCTGCCTCCCGAGTGCTGGCCAATCCAGTCTTTTAGTGAAAGACTGTCTCAAGGGAAGAAAGTGAAGACTAAGAGAGCAAGACACCTGATGTCTGCCTCTGGCCTCTGCATACATGAACATAGCTTGTGAGAGAGCATGCACGCACGCGCACACACACACATGCACACACATGCATACACACACACGCACACACACACACACACACACACACAGGTGGATGTGAGGAGTAACACCTTTTGTTGTCCTCTGACCTTCACATGAGCCCATGTTCACACGGAAACATGCACATGCACAAATGTCAAAAGGACACTGTATGATCTCACAACAGAATTAACACTGATGACACATGACAGCCAAGTCCCCAGCCTTCAAACCTCTCCCAGGGTCCCTTCTGGACAGGACCCACCTGGCATCTTCACGACCCTTCTGCTCAGCCCTAGAGAGTTGCTCAATTTCTTTTCCCCTGGGCAGGATGCATGCAGGCAGTGGTCCCTTTGGATCTGATGGATGCTTCCTTAAGGTCAGACTCTGGGTGTTTTAGGGGCAAGTCAGCCCAAGAGAGATGCTATGTCTTCCATGTGTCTAGTTCCTGAGGATGACCATGTGGCCAAGTGATGTCCCTTTTATTATTTTGTTTTCCGAGACAGGGTTTCTCTGTGTAGCCTTGGATATCCTAGGACACGCCCTGTAGACCAGGCTGGCCTCAGACTCAGAGATCCCGAGTGCAGTGCTGAGATTAAAGGCATGTGCCACCACGGCCTGGTGATGACCCTCTGAAAGTACTGCCCTTTGTGATGGACACCTGTCTAGAACAGAGATTTCTAGAAGACTTCATACATCATTTTGTTGCTAACTTTGGGGACCTCTGATGTCACTTGTCTGCGGCCACCAACACTATCAAGTTTGCTAGACTGCTTCTATGATATTCAGAATTAGTAGGGAGGGGCTAATGTGAGCAGCCATCTTCACTAATAAGCAAGCTGTGAGCTTGCACTGTGAACTTCCCTGACCATCGCATGCTTTTTTGCTGCTCGCTTTGTCAGAGGCAGCCACTGTGGTGCCTCCTGCATTCTCCCAACAAGCTCCTGATTCTGGCATTTCTCTGCTTGTTGCATAGATACTCAGACTCCCCCTGCCCTTTCCCTTGGCCAGGACAATCTGGAATTTTTGATCCTCCTGCCTTTGCTTCCCTGGTGCTGGGATTACAGCCGTGTGCCAGGCTGTACATGTGATGTTTATGTGATGTTGGGGATGGAGCTCAGGCCTTCATGCATGCTCGGCCAGCACTCTACCCATTGAACCACTGTCCTAGTCTCCACGCCTAACGGCAGCATTTCCTATCCTGCCCAGCTTAGCTTACTGTGGTCAGGGCCCTCCATACCCAGGCTCTTTTGAGTGTGGTTCACAGTCAAATAGCTACAACGTTCACCGTGCTATGGCTTAGGTACCCACTTCGCTGGTGCAATTCCATTTACTCTAATTTCTTTTTTTATTTTCCTTACTCTGGATGGCTATGCAGCCTCCTTCACCCTTTCCTTTGAAAGGCATGGAAGACTACTCATTTAGTGGGGGTGCTATGGCCAGGGACTGTACCCCATCAGCTCATAATTCTTATATTTCTTTTTTCTCAGACAGGGTTTCTCTGTGTAACAGCTCTGATTGTTCTGGAATTTACTTTGTAGACCAGGCTGGCCTCAAACCCAGAGATCCACCTGCCTCTGCTTCCCGAGTGCTGGGATTAAACGTGTGTGCTACTATACCTCGCTATGCGGCTGCTCATGTCTATGGTGTAGATTCACTGCCGGCAACACCTCAGCAGCTCTCCTAGCCTGCACCTCACACGCACATCTTGTACTCCATGAGTGAGGTTGGCAATCATGAGCACTGCTGTGTTGATATCAGTATTGAGCAATAAAACCAAGGCTCATAGGTGATGACACATCAAATGTGAAACAAGTCCCATGTGAGCTGTTGTCGCTGACTTGTGCTGCGTGGTTGGGCTTAGTGAGCAGTGGGAACAAGCAAACCTTGGGGGTACCCGACTGTGGGTTTAACCAAGAAAGAGCCCTTCTGTGCAACAGAAAACACAAAATGGGGCTTCCAACCACGCACATCCACTGGGGCAAGGGTAGCCTGCCTCCAGGGGCCAGCATCAGCAGAGCCTGTGCAATACTAGGGTTGTTGCCTGAAACCAACAGGAACATTTGCTCTCTCTCTCTGTCTCTGTCTCTCTCTGCCTCTCTTTCTCTCTCTCTCTCAGTCTCTGTGTAGTCCTAGCTGTTCTGGAACTTGCCATCTAGATAAGGCTGACCTCAAACTCAGAGATTCACATGCCTCTGCCTCTTCAGTGCTAAAGATGTGTGCTATCATACCCATGTCCCCCGACTCCTGTCTCTTACCATCTTTTATCAGTCAGATGGGAGCCAGACAAGCAATCTGGGCTAGCCCTTCTCCAATAGCTCCAGGAAGACACAGATCGAAGGGCACTTCAGCCCGGTGATGCCTGGCACTGGCATTTTGCTGGTATCTTTAGATCCCCAAACGTGGCAAAAGCCCCCAGTTGCCCACCTCAGCATGAAGGCACCTGGATGTTTAAATAACCTACAGCTCAGCACTGCTGACTTCACACTACAGGATCACCCCGGGGTCTCAAGTCAACACTGGTAGATTTGGAAACATGGGGTCACTGTAGCACACTGTAAAAGTGGAAAAGGGGCCTAGTGCATTGCTGGCGTACCCTGTGGAGGTGCACATGTGGGCTACCGAAAGGAAAACCTAGTTTTAGAAATGGCTCGCAATGACCAGAAAACAACCCTCAGCATAAAGACATCTGCTGCTATACTAGAAAAATGAAGTTGTCCAGTTGGCAAGACTCACCAAGACTGGGGACCAGAGTTCAAGACTGGGGATCTGCATGTGAAAAGTAACGACCCATGTAAATTGTCCTTTCACACACACACACACACACGGACAGTCCTCAAACAAACAAATAACTTTGCTGGGCAGTGGTGACGCACACCTTTAATCCCAGGCGGATCTCTGTGAATTCAAAGCCATGAACGTGGCAAAAGCCTGGTCTACAGAGCTAGTTCCAGGACAGTTAGGACTGTTACACAGAGAAACCCTGTCTCAAAAAAAAAGCAATTTAGAAAGCAAGAAATTGTCAGGTGGTAGAGCGTTCACCTAGCACTCAGGGAGCCCTGGGTTCCTCCCCCAACACCACATGAACCAGATGTAACGGTGCACACCTGCCATCCCGGCACTGCAGTCTTGGAGGTGGAACAATAGGGAGTTCAGGGTCATCCTTGGCTACAAAGGCAGTTTGAGGCTAACCTGGGCTACAAGGGACCATGTCTCAAAACAAGAAGTCAAGTAAATCAAAAGCCAAATAGTGCCAGGCGTTGGTGGCGCACGCCTTTAATCCCAGCACTCGGGAGGCAGAGGCAGGCGGATCTCTGTGAGTTCGAGGCCAGCCTGGTCAACAGAGAGAGTTCCAGGACAGCCTCCAAAACCATACAGAGAAACCCTGTCTTGAAAAACCAAAAAAAAAAAAAAAAAAAAAAAAGCCAAATAGTTTCTCACTTCCTACTTTGTATTCCAGTTTTGTTCAAAGAGAAGAACAAAGAGCAACAAGCCGGTGTTCGTCTGTGTACAGAAAGGGCTGACGTTTTGCTGTGGCATGGTTTCACTGACGGCTTCTGGTATGAAGACTCAGGTCTATGACAGGTGAGTCCAGGGCTCTGTGGTGTGACGACCATACTGGGCAGGATATTACATTGGTGGTCAGCCCCGAGAGGATCCTGTGACGTACACAGACGGAAGAATAAGACGACTGTCTGAAGGGAAACCGAGGACAGCTGAGGAAGCATTTTGGGGCGTGCTGCAGGGCTGAGCCATGTCCTAAAGTCCCGTGGGGACTCCTTCCCTTAGGCAGCACGGTTGAGTCTCAGGTCTCCTGGCCCTGTGGGCAGAAGGGCTCAGCTCTGCTCCAGGCAGCTGGAGACGTGGCCCTGTGGTTTTCTTCTCATCATTTGTCCTTTGCCTCCGGCTGCTCATCCATCAAATCTCTAAAGCCCAGTTTTTCCAGCGGTTCTGGGGCCATCAGCTGCCTGGAAGAGAAAGATGCTCTCATGTTCACACACCTGTCCTGCCTTCCAGCACCCCCACTCTAAAACAGAAAAACAGACCCCACGGGGCAACGAGCCAACAGGCCACGTGAGCCCCAAGGTCCCTTCCAGCCACACAGCCAGTCCAACTTCACAAGGGCAGAGGCTGAGGATGTGGGAGGGACCAGATAATGCCACATGACCCTATGGGCATGAGCAGAGTCTGAGAGAGCTGAGGCTAGGTAAGTGTCCCCACAGTGGAGGACCAGGGGTAGGAAGAACAGGGCCGATCAGTGAGCTCCAGGCCAGCGAGACTCTGTCTCCAAAGTGGGACGGGTGGCATATGCACGCTCACACGCACACAGCCAAAGGAATGCTTTCATGTACCTCTGCCTCCTAAGGGAACCCACCTAGAAAGACATCCTTCGAAGCTGGGCGTTGGTGGCGAACGCCTTTAATCCCAGCACTCGGGAGGCAGAGGCAGGTGGATCTCTGTGAGTTGGAGACCAGCCTGGTCTACCGAGTGAGTTCCAGGACACAGTCCAAAACAATACAGAGAAACCCTGGGATTAAAGATGTGCACCACCAACGCGCGGCTTAATTTTTATTTATTTTATTTTATCTTTGTTTTTTGAGACAGGCTTTCTCTGTGTGGTTCTGGCGGTTCTGAAACTTGCTCTGTAGACCAGGGTGACCTTAAATTCACCCAGATCCACTTGCCTCTCCTGCTCCCTAGTGCCATGGTTAAAGGCATGTGCTATCACTGCCCAATGTTAATTTTCTTTTTTAGTTGCATTTATTTAGGCACTGGTGTGTGTGTGTGTGTGTGTGTGTGTGTGTGTGTGTGTGTGTGTCTGTTAGGTCAACAGTATTGCTTGCACTCACCTAGCTCAGGCCAGTAAGTCACAAAAAAGTGAACGGGCAGGAGTATACTGTGGGTAGAACCCACACACTCTGAAATGCATTACTACTAAGCTATACTCCAGCCCCTCACTGGGTGATTCTAGGCAGGTGCTCTACCACTGAGCCACACCCCCCACAGCCCCTTACTGGGGAATTCTAGCAAGTGCTCTACCACTGAGCCATACCCCAGTCCCTTACTGGGGAATTCTAGGTAGGTGCTTTACTATTGAGCCACACCTCAACCCTTCACTGGGGGATTCTATGCAGGTTCTCTACCATTGAGTCACACTCCAGCCCCTCACTGGGGGATTCTAGGCAGGTGCTTTACCAATGAACTATATCCTCAGTCCTGCTTTTATTATTAGGCTCAAACTCTACATCCTCCTGCCTCAGTCTCTCTTATGTTACAGGCCCCCATATTGCTCTCACTGCTGAATTTGTCCAGCTTGTCTGTGGGAACCTCTCCTTTTCCAGATACCAAGACACAGGGACTGAGTCTGGGGAAGGCAGGAACCTGCTCACATCCTTATCCTCAGGCTGGCATCACTCTGTCCTTCTTCTAAAGCTCAGCAGACCCAAGAAGAAATTCTTGGCCACCTTCTGAGGCTACAGGCAAGCACTCTGAGGCTCAGTGACAGCTATGTGCCCCTGGAAGCAGCAAGATCAGGACAAACTCCGGCACCGTTTGCAATGGCAGGGCACAGCCTTACAGTTACTTGTCCCCATTGCCTGAGCCAACCCCCTCCCCCACATGCCTATACCTTAGGGACTTGTCTGGGTTCATCAAACAAAGCAGGCTGAAGTGGACCATTGGCAGACTAGGTGCCTGAATTCCAGTGTGCGCGACCGAGACAGACCCCTCCCCTGTGTAATGACACACGACCTGCTTCTTCACGACCACAGTTGGAATGGCTCTTACTGTAAGGCACCGCTCTACAGATCCCTGTTTTTGTTGGTTTAAAAGTAAATGTGGGGGGTGCAGGCATCATCATCCATCATTTCTTAAGTCTCCCATTGTCTCCATTACATTCCAAACGGCTTTCAATGGAGGGGACGATGCTGCGATGCATGTTCTTACGGGCTGAGAATGTGAAAGGCATGAAGACCTGTCAGCTCAGTCAGCACTGCTGTGATGTACGATGGCTTAATGGGGCTGTGTGCAGGACTGTCACTCACAAAGAGGTTCTCAGGGCAGCTCGGCAGCCTAGGTGCCACCCCACCTGCTAAGCTGTGACTTCTTCCGGCAAACGTCAGGCATCTGATGTGGCCAGGGAGGTGGCTGAGTTGGTAAAGTGGACCTGGGTTCTTTCCCCAGAAACAACATAAAGAAAGCTGGGTGTGCTAGTGTGTTTGCAATCCTAGTGCTGGGAGGCAGAAATGGGAGGATCCCTTGGCTTGCCTGTGCCCAGCCTAGCCTAATCAGTGTACCCCAGGCCAGGGACAGACCTTGCCTCAAAAAATACAGTGGGGGCTGGAGAGAGAGCTCAACAGTTAAGAGTGCTTGCTGCTCTTTCAGGAGACCAGGGCTCAGCTCCCAGGACCCATATGGTGGCTCACACACATATGTATGCATACCAAGGGGGAAAAATGGAAAAATCCAAGCAGAGCCTAGGCCTGAACAAGCTGCAGCTTGCTGGGCATTTTGCAGAACAGGCTGTGAGAGCCACAGGAAGCTGGGATCTGAACTCAGATTGGAACTGTGACAATGTACTCGCCTTTGCATCCTGCACATTAAATACTCTTTAGATTCATTTCTGCACAAAGCATTTTCAAAATTCTTGTCGCGGAGACACTTCATGAACTTTTCTTTAAAGCTTTTACATTCACCTAGAAAGAAAAGGAAGACAGTGTCCTGTTTGTAAAGAGAAGGCCTGGCCTGCTCATGGTGGCCTCCGGGGCAGTGCTATGGTTTCCATCAAAAGTTGTTTCCTTCCTGGGGCTGTGGATGTGGCTGGGGAGGGGTAGACTGCATGTTTGGCATACAATTACTTGGGTTCAATCCCCATCACTTCAAACAAAAACTAACAAGGGGTGAAGAGAGGGCTCACTGGTTATGAGCACAGGCTGCTCTTGTAGAGGAACTGAGTTTGGTTCCCAGCACCCACATTGGGCAGCTGACAAATGCCTGTAGCTCCAGCTCCAAGGAATCAAACACCCTCTTCTGGTCACCAGGGGAGCCTGCACACACATGGTACGTAGACTCAGATGCACACATATACACTCAGGTGCACACACACACTCAAATGCACACACATACACTCAAATGCACACACATACACTCAGGTGCACACACATACTCAAATGCACACACATACACTCAGGTGCACACACATACACTCAAATGCACACACATACACTCAAATGCACACACACATACTCAGGTGCACACAATACAGTCAGATGCACAGACAGATACTCAGGTACACAGACATACACACTTACACACACATACACTCAGGTGCACACACATACACTCAAATGCACACACATATACTCAGGTGCACACAATAAACTCAGATGCACAGATACACACTCAGGTACACAGACATATACACTCGCTTGCACACACATACACTCAGGTGCACACACACACACACTCAGGTGCACAGATATATATACTCAGATGCACACACATATACATAAAGTTAAAAAATGTAAATAAATGTTTAAAACAGAAAATATCCCAGTGAAATGTTGGTAAAGACATAATAACCTAAGGTCAGTGAGATGACTCAGTGGGCAAAGGTACTTGCTACCAAGACTGTCAACCTAAGTTTGATTTCCAAGACCCATGTGTTAGAAAGAAAGACCCCTCCCCTACTTCCACATGTGTGCCACAGCACACCCTCAAACACACCAAACAAACATAATTCTTAAACACAATAATCTCTAAAGCTGTCCCCAGAACTGGAGTCTCCATGGCAACTCACCCACTGCTCAATCAATACTAACACACCACCATAAACACCACAGTGTCAGAACTTTCTCGGGTTGTTTTTGTTTGTGGCAGGTGTGGGGTTTTGTTTTGTTTTCTTTTTTTTTTTTTTTTTTTTTTGCAGTGCTAAGGACAGAACTTGGGGCCTCCTGTTCCTGTGCATGCTACCCTGCTTCATGAGAATAGAGAATATTACCAACACTCTCCTGGTGGTTTTAGGTTTTTTTTTCTCCACATTTCAGTTTTCCCAAAGGCAGGTTAACTGTAGACTTCAGAACTGTGGATGCTAATCCTCTGGTCTGGAGGCTTGGCTCAAAGGTGCCAAGCCTGGGCTCCAGCCCCAGTATTAGACACCAAAAAGCTTTTTGAAAATATTTCTTTGCCAAATGTTCACTGAAGGCCCAGAGCTTCAAGTTGGAGTGAGGGTGGCTCCTGGACTGTCAACAGGGGAGGCTAACATCAGTCCCACGCCAGGAGTTCCATCACCATCCTGGTCACCTTAGACCCAAGTGTGAGCTCTCACTTGGAAGGACCATGCCATGGCTGGTGGCTCTCTGAAATAGCGATCTTCAAGACTCAAGTTTCCAGCCGGGCGGTGGTGGCACACACGTTTAATCCCAGCACTCGGGAGGCAGAGGCAGGGGATCTCTGTGAGTTCAAGGTCAGCATGTTCTACAGAGCAAGTTCCAGGACACCCTCCAAAACAATACAGAGAAGCCCTGTCTTGAAAAAAACAAAACAACAACAGCAAAACAAAAGACTCAAGTTTCCCTGCCTGCAGCCACACAGGGCTCTGAGCATGTCCAGCCCCAGTCTGGGAGGTGCCTGGGGCTCTAATTTCTCTGCACCCCTAGGTCCAGTATATCAGACTCCACCCACCAGATCTAGCATCCCATATCCAACACACCGACCCTGTCACCCAGGTCTGTCACCCTACACGTTGCCTCTCAGGTCCAGCACCTCACACCTGGCTCTCAGTACCATCTAACTCCTCAGACAGTGCACCTAAATCCAGCACCTCTGGGTATCACCCACCTCCGGGTATCACCCAGATCCAGTACCCAGACCCAGTACCCCTGAACCTGCCATCTATCAACAGGGAAACAGCACTCCAGCCTCTGCCACCCAGACTGAGCCCCCCAGACCTTAAACCCAGATCCAGTACCCCTAACCCTGTCACCCAATCCCAGCACCCCCTGACCCTGCTATCCAGAACCAGTACCCCAAGACCTTGCCACTCACATCCAATACCCCTGACTCTGTCACCGAGAAACAGCATTCCAGACCCTACCACTCAGAGTACCCCTAACCCTGCCACTCAATCCCGGACCGCCGGCAGCCTGAGTCTCGCCTGGCCTCACCGAAGTGGTCCAGCGGGAAGCTTCCTTTATCTGGTGGCCGAGGCTGGAAGCTTTTGGTCCCGAAGTTCATTGCGGTCGACATGACTGCGGAATCAAGAGCAGTGAGCAGCGGCAACGCAGGGAGGATAGCCGAGCACCGAGCAGGCCCAGGAAGCTCCGAGCTAGTCGAGCGGTGGGCCTGCCCCGCCCGCCCCGCCCGCCCCGCCCCTCTGTGCTCTGACAGGGCGTAATGGTGGCCGCAATCAAGAGCTTTCCAGTCTTCTCAGCAGAAGCCCAGACATCTTTTAGTACCCATGAGAAGACAAGGTTAGAAAGGTGCAGCCCCTTGCCCGAGGATGCCAGTTTGTGTCCCGGGATCTTCATCCCATCCCGCTTTCTGCCACGGACTGAGTTTCCCATATACTTAGAGTCTAAGCGAGGCAAGAAGGACACTGAAGGACACTATCTTCTTGTAGGTGTTGTGGCACAGTTCCACAAACAGTCAGAAATGAAAGCAGGGTGTAGTGCCAGCTGGGGAGGCCGAGGCAGGAGGATTGCCTGAGTTTTAGGCAAACCTGGGCTACACAGCAAGATCCAGTTTCACGAAACAAAACTGTCCAAAAGGACCTTTTCCATGGCTCAAGAGACTGGAATTCGGAGTCTAAGGTGTGGGCCATTAGGTCCTTAGTGGGCTGCTGTCCGCTCCAGGGAGCCCGGTCTCCTCACCCCTCATCCCCCCCCAGCCTCTGGAGGGTTCTATCATCTTGGGTAATCCTGGATTGCTAGAAACAATGCTCCTTCTTCTGGACCTCCACTTCTGGTGACATTCTCCTCATGTATCTGTATTCAAGCATTTCTTTTTTTTTTTTCTTTTTTTCTTTTTTCGAGACAGGGTTTCTCTGTATTATTTTGGAGCCTGTCCTGGAACTGGATCTGTAGACCAGGCTGGCCTTGAACTCACAGAGATTTATCTGCCTCTGCCTCCCGAGTGCTGGGATTAAAGATGTGCTCAGCTCATCAGAACAATTTCAACCTCAGCTGCTCACATCTGCCATGACATTGTTTCAGAAGAGGCCATCAGGTCCTAAGGGGTTGGGACTGTGCCACATGGATTTGGAAGGAATAGTCTATGATGATGGGATGGAGTCCACTGGCAGCAACACCTGTCCCCAGACCCTGCTTTTCAGCTGGGGACAGAGAAGACGACTTGCTTCTTGCCTCCCAACACTGACTGTGATTGGGGGATGCTGTCCATCATTCCTTCTCAGCAACAAATGGCTTCTGTGTCACACACCCATCCAGACCCCTGGCAGTGAGCAGGAGGAGCATCAATGGGCTCATAGCAGCATCTTGGGGCCAGCTCTCTCGCTATAGTCCTGATGGATCCTAATATCACTAATACTTCCAGTGTTGGGTAGAAGGAAACAATTCCCAGGAACTGCAGAGAGGTGCTTGGCCAACAGATCTTTAGCTCCCAACCTAGAGCCCACCCTCTTCCACATTGCTGGACTTCTCTTCTCCATAGCCATCCACTGGTCTCCTTGCTGGATGCCATGCTGGCTTCTTGTGTGGGAGGCTGCATTTAGCTTCAGGTGTCCAGACCTGTAGACTGCCTTGCAGAGGGGTATCACCTCTCTACCCAAACCTCCAGAGAGCCCATTCCAATTCTAGTTCAGCTTACCCATCAAGAAGGAGCATAGGGCTTAGTAGGCAAGACCACTTGCTACACAAGCATGAGGACCTGAGTTCAGATCCCCAGAACCCCCGCCCCTAAAGTCAGGCCAGGTGGTATGGGCCTAAAACCTCAGCACTGTAAGGGCTTAGGGCTTTCTGGCTGCCAGCCTAGCTCTGGGGTCAGCAAACACCCTGTCACAAGGGGATAAGTTGAACAGTAATAAAGCAGGACACCTGACATCCTCCTGGGGTTTCCACATGTGCATGGGGTACACACATACAACATATGTGCACATATATATATATCACACACGCGTGCGCGCGCGCGCGCGCACACACACACACACACACACACACACACACACACGGTGGGGGCAGGGGGACTCCAGAAGGAAAACTGTACTTTGTCCTTGTCATGTAAACAACTCTTTTTCCACCTTCTCTATGCCTGGAACCAGGGGCCACACACTGAGTTACTCATTAATTTTTTTGAGCTGTGAACAATAGTGGCTTTTATCTCAGCAAGCAGCCCTTTCTGCTTAAAATAAAAGGACATCTCTATCCCTGAGGTGGCAGGACCTCTGTCAGGCAGCCCCAAAGAACCAACAAAGCATCAGGGGCTGGTGTCTAGGCCAGGACAGCAAGCTTCTAATCCGCCATTCCTAGGAAACAGCACTGTCTTGTATGAGCTTCTTTGTTGTTGTTTGTAGCTCTGGCTGGCCTTAAACTCACTGAGCTCTGCTTCCTAAGTGCTGGGTTCCTAAGCATTGTGATCAAAGGTGTGCACCACCACACCCAGCTGTTTAGCCAAGGGAGGAGTGTGTGTGTGTGTGTGTGTGTGTGTGTGTGTGTGTGTGTGTACGTACATGTGTGGATCCATGTAAAGGCAGGAACAGTGTCAAGCGCCTTCTTCCATATTTCTCTGAAGTGGGATCTCTCTCCAAATTGGAAGCTCACCATTTTTGGCAAAGCTGATTGGTCGATAAGCTCTCAAGAGCCATTTATCTATGTCCCCCCAATGCTGGGGTTACAGGCATGCACAGCCATGCCTGGCTTTTTATGTGGATGGTAGCAATTCATACTCAAGCCCTCAGGATTCAGTAGCAAGCACCCTTCCTTACTAAGCCATCCCATCTTTTGAGACAGAGTCTCTCACTGACCATGGAGCATCCTAATTCAGGAGACTGGCTAGCCAGTAACCCCAGGGATCTTCTAGTCTGACTGGTCATCACTGGGGATACTCATGTGATAGGTTTTCTGTAACCCCAATAATAGATTTCTCCTCTGATGCAGTAAGCCAGATCAAGCTGAATTATAGAAGTAAATGATTGGCTGGGTGGTGGTGGTACACACTTTTATTCCCAGCACTCGGGAGGCAGAGGCAGGTGGTTCTCAGTGAGTTTGAGGCCAGCCTGGTCTATGAAGTGAGTTCCAGGACAGCCAGGACTGTTACACAGAGAAATTCTGTCTCAAAAAACAAAACAAAACAAAAAGTAAAAGACCAGGTGTATTTGAACAAAGCAACTCCAGGTGAGTACTCCAGCCCCAGAGATGGGTGTGGGGGAAGGAGGCAGAAGAGGAATCACATGGCTGATCCAAAGGAGGGCACTTAAATACCCTGTGATGGGAGATGTCATTCTGTAAATCTGTCTCTCTTATTGGTTGATGAATAAAGCACTGTTGGCTAACAGGGAAGCAAGATAGATGGGACTAGGAGTCAAGGAGGATTCTGGGAAAGAGAGGCAGGGTTAGAAACGATGTAGCCGCCATAGGAATAAGAGGTTTGGACCTTTTTCTCCGGTAAGAGAAATACTTAGAATAACAATTATGGGTTAAATACTTAAGTCAGAGCTAGCCAGTAAGAAACCAAGCAAACAGCCAACAGCTTCATAATTAATATAGCGTCCTGTGTGTTCATTTAGGGACTGCAACTGTGGCAGGGCCCAGGCGACTGGCAAGAAGACTACACTCTACAACGCCTGGCATTGAAACATCCTCTATAAGCAGGGGTTTGTGCCCAATCATGGTAGGCAGGGTCTTGAGCAGCTAGCAGCTTAGGGGGAGGAGCCACTGCCAGGAATGTGGAACTGGACTCCCAGAAGTCTCTCTGAGAGGGCAGAGTTTGGAGAGAGAAACAACTGGGACAGAGATGGAGATTCCAGCTGAACATCATGTACCAACTGCCTGGCTATGATATGTGCTGGGGGATCTAAACCCAGGTCCTCATGCTTGCATGGCAAGTACATTACCAATGAAGCCATCTGTCCAGCCCTGGGGTTTATTATTTTTAAATAATTTTCAGTTTATGTATATGAAAAGTGGTGAGAGAACTCCCAGCTTTGATGTGATATTGTACTACACCAGCTCGCTCAGGCTGACGACAGTAGCATGGCTATATCCTTGAACTTGGTGTTCTACACCTAGCTTCTTCCACCCAGGCTTCCTCCCAGCATGCACTAGGGCCTAAAAACTGGGTGGAAACTATATCTCTTATTGACTTATCCTGTGGAGTGGTACAGTATCCCCCAGAGTGCCCCTAAATCCAAGTGTAGGGAAATAAAGTCCCCTTCTGCTAGAAAGATAACATCATATTACATGAAGGACGTATGATCAGAGCATCTTACATGGCCGTCTTTGGTGGGTATCGCCCACTCCACGTCAGGTCAAGGCCAGATGTAACCTGAGGCAGCCAATGTGAGTTCTGCATACAGGCATTGCTCAGGGCACCTGTGAGCCTAGCCCTAAGAAGTCTGATGAGAACAGACCCTCAGTAGATTGAGCAACCATGCCGGAGACAGTTGGCGCCACACCTTTGCAGGGTGTGGGGAAATTCCATAAAAATTTAAAAAGGAAACAGCCTGGGGCTGGGGATGTAGTTCAGTAAAAACTAAGATTTAATCCCCAGCACTTGAAAAAAAAAAAGAACAACTATAGGCACGATGGTGCATACCTACAATGCCAGTCAGCACTCTGACGGAGGAGGAGTTAATGGTCAGCCTGGGCTATGCACATAAAAAATTTAGAAGTGGGGATGTAATTCAGCGGTAGAGTGTTAGGTCTCAAACCCTGGACAAACTGATGTACCTGTTTAACATATCAAAACAGACCTGGCCACCAGGTTCTCCCAGAATTCCTTAGTCCTACTTGTTACAGAGTACATGGCTGGCACACTCTGCTCCTCACCCTAAACTTTTCCGACCCAGGGGTTGGGCTGCCCTTCCCTATATAATCCTGTCTCACCCCTCTACCCTCACTCACATTGCCCAGCTCAGGATCATGGACTCTCCAAGATGTCCTTGCCTCTGGCTATGCTCTCCCTCACATCTACAATAAACGTTGTCCAGCATACCTAGGAGCAGCCATGTCCTTCCTTTTCCTCCCTTCCTCCCTCCCTCCTTCCCTCCTTCCCTCCATCCATCCCTCCCTTCTTTCTTTCTTTCCATTCATAGAGCACTTGCCTAGAAATCCCCAGTGAGGGGCTGGGAGTGTTGCCCAGTGGTAGAGCACCTGCCTAGAATCCCCCAGTGAGGGGCTGGGAGTGTGGCTCAGTGGTAGAGCACCTGTCTAGCAAGGCCTTGGGTTGTATTCCTAGCATTACAAGAATAACAACAAGCCCCCAAGACTCCCCCACCTCCACTATTACTTTGCAACATCTTTTGCAGATATGCACAGCAGCAAGTCTTATTATACAAGACAAGCTGGCCCAGAGGTCAGGATCCTCCTGCCTTCCCCTCCCCAGTGCTGGGATCACAGGTGTGCCCACCTCCCTTTGCTTTACCCTCGTATCTTTAGCAGATTGCTTTGTGACAGCTTAAAGCTAGGAACAACGTGAACATTCACATCCACCACGCCCAGCACAGCAGAGGAGGCCCGTGTCTAATTCTGAGTACACAGTAGTGCTAAAAATAGCATTAAGCAATGTATGATGGATGTATGGTGAGGAGCACACTGGGCTTGAGTAAACTGTATGGTGACTGATTCTTGCTACTTAAATTTGGTAATGGCTCAGACACATGCCCAAACGCATCAGAATCTGTTTTAAATACCCCCACTTTTTTTGTTATTATTCTCAGTTCTGGTGAATGGGACCCTGGGCCTGGTGCACACTGGGTGAGTGATCTGCTGCTAAATTGTACCTATCTGCAGCCCAGAATGTGTGAATTATGCATATGGTTTTGTATATGTTGGTAGCATTATAAGTGTGGAGGATAGACGGGGAAGCTGTTCAAGCATGAAGACCTGTGTTTTATCCCCATACCCACGTAAAAAGCCAGGTAAGACACATATGGTACACACTTGTAATCACAGTGTACTGAGAAGGTGCTAACGGCTATCTGGGCAGCCAGCCTAGCCAAACTGGTGAGCTCCAGGTCAGCAACAGATCCTGTCTGGATAGACAAGGTGGGGCTGAGGAGACAGCTCAGGGAGTAAAATGCTGTGCAAGTTTGAGGATTCCTATGTAAAAGTGGATGTGGTGTCATCCATGCCTGCAATCCCAGAGCTCTTACAGCAAGGCAGGAGAAATCCCAGAAGCCAACAGCTAGTGAATAACATGCAGCTGCAAACAAGAGACTGTCTCAAACAAGGTGGATGGTGAGAACTAGCAACAGAGGTCTTCTCTGACCTCTGCACATGTGCGGTGGCATATGTGCTTGCATATGGACACACAACACACACACACACACACACACACACACACACACCAGGATCTTTCAACTGTGCATGGTGTACACTAGTAATCTAAATCCTAGGGAAGAAGAGGCTGGAGGATCAGGAATTTAAGTTCAGCCTCAGTTACATAGTGAGTTTAAGGCCAGCCTGAGCTACATGAGATTTGAGACTCTTTATCAAATAAACAAATAGACAACAACAACAACAAAAATCCTTCCCCCAAATAGCCCTCAAGGTAGCTGGATAGTGATGCCTGTAATCCCAGCCCTCTGGAGGAAGAAGCTGGAGGATTTGGGCCATGCCAGTCATGGCACAAGCATGACTTCCCCAGGTCCTCAGGGAGGAGCTGTCCACAGATACCTGGGCACCAGACCACTTCACTCATCACGGCAACTTCGGGGTGAGCTTCTGTGGGTCTTTGCTGCAGCCGTAGGGACTCTCATGGTGGCAGGTGAGCTCATGCCTGCTCCTGGAGGGGCTGCAGACTCCTGCCCCGATCACCCTGACGCCTTTCCTGTCCCAGCCTGTCTGGCTCCTCTACACCTACCTCCACATCACGTCGACCCCGACAGCCTGGCAAGTCTCAGCTCACTAGCTACAGTCCAGACTCCACCAAACACCACCTGCCTTGACGCCCCCCCACCCACCCAATACATACTCAAGGGCAAACGGAGTCACACCAGTCTTGCCCTGGAATTGTGATGGCGGGACCCTACTGGTCCCTCTGCCACTGATTTCCATATCCCTGACCCCTGGCCAAGGCTGGCACACTAAGGGCTCACTAAGTGCTTCCTGCAACAATTATGTAGATTTCCCTGGCTGGGTAGGATCCCAGACTTGGATGTCCAATAAGTGGCCTTGGAAGCAGCATCTGGTTGAAGCATGACCCAGATATCCACTGTGGTGACAAGGAGCTGTCCCAACCCAGGCTCATGCTGTTCCAGGGAATAGAAGTGCTAGGTTCCCATTGCAGGTGAGATGCAACCTAGGCTGGGCTTTGCTCCACAGGCAATACAGGGGAGCAAGACCGAGGTGCAGGGAGTGGGGATGGCTTCTGCTTCAGCTCAGCATTTGTGCAGGGTGTGGACAACACCCCAGGGCACAGGCCCCATGGTGAGGGGCCCTGCTGGAGGTGGGGGGACAGGACTCAAGGAGCCTCATGTTGAGGCAGGCTGCGGGAAGCAACCCAGCTACTTCTGTTGCCAACAGCCACCCGCCCCGCACAGACTTTTCTCACAGGGGCACCCCAGTGAGGACACCAGGGTTTAAGAGACGGGATTAGGGCCCAGACAGCTGGGGCTGTAAAACTGGCCACCTGCTGTGTCTGTACATAGTCTGTTAGATGACCCCTCAGTGTCTGGATGGCCCTGCCCCTTACTCCAGGCTGCTGGGGTGAGCTCTCTCAACTTTAGGAGACACTGGCTGCTTCTGAAGACAGTGGGCTTTGAGGCCCTTGTGACTAGAGAGGCCCTTGATGTCTTCTGCACAGGACATTCAGTGTCAGAGGTCTCGCACCTGCTGGGCTCTAGGGTCCTGCTTCTGGAGGCTCCAATCTGATGACACAGGGGACTATTCATTTCAGTACCCAAATCCACAAGTTCCACTTTGACAAGACCACATAGAACTAGCAGGATCCCAGAGAATTGGGGACAGAATAGACAATGGACTCTGACCATGTCACTGGAACCTGGGGGCACATGGAAGGGTGTGGCTATCCTGGAAGCCTGACCCCAGATGGTCAAGGTCCAGACAACCTGTGACCAAAATCCTTGGCCCTGCATCTCCTACAGAGTTTCTTTCGGCCCCCACCCCAGTCTCTCTGCCAGAGAGGCAGGCGACCCCACATTCCACACAGCCTGTAGCTTTAAGTCTCCTCTGGGCTGTCCCCTGCAAACTGCTCATTCCACATTCTCGGGGTGGTGGGGTGGGTGGGGTGCCGGCACGCCCTGGGGAGGATGGCTATAAGGCACAGGGATCACTGGGCCCCTGGAGAGCTGAAGGCTTGCTATCCAGCTGTTCACATGGCTCTGCTGCTCCTAGGTGTCTGGGGAATCCTGCTGCTTCTGGGGCTGTGGGGGCTGCTCCGAGGCTATGCCCAGGTCCCCTCCCCGGCCCTTCGGTGGCCCCCTGGGCCTCGCCCTCTGCCGTTTCTGGGGAACCTGCATTTGCTGGGTGTGACCCAACAGGACCGGGCACTGATGGAGGTAGGGTGGGCAGAGCTCTGACAAGGGAAGCCAGTGGGGGATGCAAAAGGCCAGAGGCTTGTCCCCAGGGAGCAGATGTAGGAAGATGTGACCTAGGCTGGGGATGTAGTGCATTGCAATATGCTTATTTAGCATGCACAAGGGCCTAGCATTGCAGCCCAGGGTCACAGTGGGCAGGGTGGGCTCTGAGAGGCATGTTTGCAGGAAAGTCTGCATGGGACAATGAGAAAGAAGGTGGCAGATATGTCTAGAAGTGACTGAAATGGGGCATGGCTGCAGATCTTACAGCAGCCTTTGTCTGGTGGTGGCTGGCAGGGGGCGGGTAGCAGTTACTGGGGTATGGCTTCTCCCCAAGACCTGAAGGTATGCTGGTTGCACCGCCTCTAGCCAAGGCTGACAAACTCAGTGGGGTGGAGGTCCTTGAACTTTGTCCGGGGGACTCATGTTTGCTGAGAAGTCCACACAGTGGCAGACCTGACTTGAAGTGGCTCTGCCCCCACCTTTCTTAGGGTAGAGCAGGCTGGACTCCTCGTGACTTCAGGTACCAGGTTCAGGGGCTCAGACCCCTCTTCAGGCCTGTTTCTGGGGATCAGATATCAGACAAGCCCAGCTATGGCTCTTCGTGAGACCCACAGATACCACACCTACTTTCCCGTTTTCAGATTCTTTTCTGTCTTTGAAATGGGGAGACAGCAGTCTGAACAGCACTCCCTCCTGGGAGACTGGAAGGGTGCTGGGGGCGGTCCCCTCCAGCACGTAAGCTGCCAGTCTACAACACTGCTGTCCTCCTAGCCCTAGCTATGGAAGGTGGGTGGAGGCCACCTGTCTGACACCTGTCTGTCCCTACCAGCTCTCAGAACGCTATGGGCCGGTGTTCACAATCCACCTGGGATCTCAGAAGACGGTGGTGCTGTCAGGCTACGAGGTGGTGAGGGAGGCCCTGGTTGGGACCGGGCATGAGCTGGCCGACCGGCCCCCGATCCCCATCTTCCAGCTCATCCAGCGAGGTGGGGGTAGGTGGGCATTGGGATTCCCTGACAGGTGGGAGGGGCTTGGCCTCTTGGGCTGGTGTTGGGGAGGGACAGAATCAGTTCATTGCAAACCAAGGGAGATACGGGCAAGGGTAACCTCTGAATGGCAGGGGCCTGGAGTTGAGTCTGGGGCCCCACTTGGGTCCCCTGATCCCTGCATGCTTCACCAGGATGGGGAGTGGCTGGCACTCCTGGCTCATGTCTACCCAACAGGCATCTTCTTTTCCTCTGGAGCTCACTGGAGGGCAGTTCGACAATTCACAGTGCGCACACTGCACAGCCTGGGTGTGGGACAGCCACCCATGGTGGCCAAGGTGCTGCAGGAGCTGGCCTGTCTTAAGAGGCAGCTGGACAGCTATGGAGGTGAGTGGGGGACCAGGATACCCCTCCCCAGGATCCCTGCCTACCTGAGGCCTTGTCTTCCTCTCTGATCTCCAGGCCAGCCCTTCCCCCTGGCCCTGCTGGGCTGGGCACCCTCCAACATCACCTTCACGCTCCTCTTCGGCCAGCGCTTTGACTACCAGGACCCTGTGTTTGTGTCCCTGCTGGGTCTCATTGACCAGGTTATGGTCCTGTTGGGGTCACCTGGCATACAGGTGAGAGGTTGCCACTCCACAGGGAATTGAGCCCCTATTGAATGAGGGTGTGGGGACACCCTGAGGCCAGGGCTGGTTGGTACCCAACATTCTTCCTCCTTTCCCCAGCTGTCAGTCTTGCCACCCTTTGAACAAGGAGCTCTGGGCTGGGGAATGTGACTTCATTGGTAGAGCATTTGCCTAGTGTGCATGAAGCCCTGGGTTCCATCCCCAGCACCATACAAGCTGAGCATGTGGTGCACACCCGTAACCCCAGCACTCTGGAGATGGAGTCAGGAGGACCATACATTCACAGTCACCCTTGGCTACACAGTGAGCTTGAGGGCAGCTGAAGCGACATGAAGTCCTGTTTCAAAAGAGAAAACAAATAAAACGAGCAAGGAGCATGTGACACTGACTAAAAGATGGACATTGTTTAGTAAGTTTTGCATGTGAACCAAGCCCTCTGCTTTCTGGCAGATGGGACATCTGAATCAGGGAGTCCCGCCGTTCCCCATACCCCTACAGTGACAGATACAGCTGCTAAAGGTGAGGGTGGCCTTTACTGTATTTTGGGACCCTTGTCCCAGAGGTCCCCCACACCCAAACAGCTTTTATTTTATTTATTTAAATTTTATTTTATGTGCATTGGTGTATGAGGGTGTCAGGTTACCTGGAACTGGAGTTACAGACAGTTGTGAGCTGCCAAGTGGGTGCTGGGAATTGAACCTGGGTCTTCTACAAGAACAGTCAGTGCTCTTGACCACTGAATCATCTCTCCAGCTCCTTTTATTTATTTATTTTTGAGAGAGAGCCTCTCTGTAGTTCTGGCTGTCCTGGAACTCTATACAGATCAGGTTGGCTTCAAATGCACAGAAGTCCACCTGTCTCTGCCTCCTGAGTGCTGGAACCAAAGATGTTCTTGTCCACACACTCCTCATCACAGAAATCACAAAAATCAGCCCCTCCTATGTCCAGTGCCCTAAAGTTTAAAGAGTCCTGGCTTTGGGCCACTGTGCTCCTAACTGAAGCCTAGACACTCAGCACCCAGCACCTACCCCTTACAGTTGGGCCCTGACTCAGGTTGAGGCCCCACAGGGGTGAGGGGGGAGCAGCCACTGTGGTGAGCATGCTCTTAGGCTTGGAATTCCCACCCATGTAGTCAGGGAAAGCAGTAAGCTCAACCTCAGAGCACTCACGGGGGGGGGGGGGGGGGGTGGAGAAGGCGGGGGTCCTCCGGATAGCTCGGGTAGTAGGAATGGTTCTCATCACTTTAGAGCATTTCCCACCAGTAACTGCCAATGTAGAGCAATTCTGAATACCTCCTGGCTCCAGACCTCTTCTGTAAGCCACACATTTTCCCTCCCCAAGACCTGTGAGCCTTCATAGCTGCGACTCCATCCCCATGGTAGCCATCCCTCCTTGGCCCTTCCCTTTCAGCAATAATAGAAAGGAACTGGTCCCTAGGCAGCCATTACTCTTGGTCTTGACAGAACCATCCAAGTATGTCACGTCAGCTGGCTCCTTCTGAATACCCTGAGAGTCTCTCCTGGACCCTGGACTCTAGGAGGGTGGCAAGCCTTCAGTACTGCTGGCCTGGTGCCCTCTTGTGGCCAGGAGTAGCACTGCCTGATGCGCCTGCTGATAGATGGATTAAATGGTTTGCTTACTAGAACTGCATCTGTCACCTCACCTCTACCCCACCCCACTGTCCCGCCCACTCTCAGCTGTTCAACACCTTCCCGCGGCTGGGGGCTCTGCTGCGGTTGCACAGGCCCGTCTTGAGCAAGATAGAGGAAGTGCGCACCATCCTGAGAACCCTCCTGGAGGCACAGAGACCACCCTCGCCAAGTGGCGGCCCTACGCGGAGTTACATGGAAGCTCTGCTTCAGCGGGGCCAGGTGTGGACAGGGCCAGGGCCTCCCCAGGAATCAGTCAGGGTTTGGTGGCTCAGGGGAGGGGAAACTGTGGAGAGGGCCTCTGGGAGTCTCAGTCTCCTCCTCTATGGGATTGGGCCCTCAAAGTACCTGGAATGGGGGCTGGGGTTGGGTGGATCCTCAGTAAATGCCAGTTCACCCCTCACACACACCTGACTTCTACCATCCTCCTCTGGGGCCAAGGACTGGGGTAGGTCCACAGGTTGGGGTTGGATCCCCAGAGTTTCAAGCTCAGTTCTAACCATGTGCCCTGCAGGAGGATGACCCCGAAGACATGTTTGGTGAGGCCAATGTCTTGGCCTGCACATTGGACATGGTCATGGCTGGAACAGAGACCACAGCAGCCACGCTGCAGTGGGCAATCTTCCTGATGGTTAAGCACCCACACGTGCAGGGTAAGAGTCACCCCACGGTAGGGGGTTGGAACCCTTAGGGGTGAGGGATGGGGCTCCACCCATGCAGTGTCACCCTTCGGCCTAGGCCGCGTGCAGGAGGAGCTGGACCGAGTACTGGGCCCTGGGCAGCTACCCCGGCCAGAGGACCAGCGAGCACTGCCCTACACCAGTGCAGTGCTGCATGAGACCCAGCGGTACATCACACTCTTGCCTCATGTGGCCCGCTGCACAGCTGCTGACATCCAGTTGGGTGGCTACCTGCTTCCTAAGGTGGGGTCTTACTCCTCCCTCTGACCGGCAGGGACTTCCCAGGTCTCACTCTCCTCTGCGAGCGAGGGTAACACCATGTGGCGTAGGTGGGAGGCAGGAACTCCCCCAGGTGGGGCTCTGCCACTTTCCCTCCAAGCAGACCAGTCTACCCTGGGATCCCTCTACCCTACAGGGCACCCCTGTGATCCCTCTGCTGACCTCGGTACTCCTGGACAAGACTCAATGGGAGACCCCAAGCCAGTTCAACCCACACCACTTCCTGGATGCCAACGGGCATTTTGTGAAGCGGGGTGCCTTCCTGCCTTTCTCCACAGGTAACCTGCCGGCCCTCAGCCTTCAGGGAGTGCCTTCGCCAGTCCTTGCTTGCCCCTCTCCCCTCCAGGAGCAGGCCTGGCTCCCTACATGGTGCCTTGGTTTCTCTTACAGGTCGCCGGGTCTGCGTTGGAAAGAGCTTGGCCACGACAGAGCTCTTCCTGCTATTTGCGGGCCTCCTCCAGCGGTACCATCTGCTGCCCCCACCCGGCCTCAGCCCCGCAGACCTGGATCTGCGGCCTGCCCCAGCCTTCACCATGAGGCCACCTGCCCAGACCTTGCGTGTGGTGCCTAGATCCTAGGGTGCTTACACACTGGAAAACTACCAGAGCCTAGCCTACGTCTCCCTCAGGGTGCTTTGCAGGCGGTGGTGCTGCTGGAGCAGCCTTAACAATGCATGATGGGTAGACAGTACCTACTCTGTCCCTCTGTACCACCGGCTGGGTCCAATGTACTGTGTACAATGGGGCCAGGCTGCTCACCTCTGACCATTGGAGGTTGGAAGCTGACCTTCCATCTGGGCACCATGGGGGGGCTCAGGTATGCCCCCTGCCCAGCCCAGCAGTCCTATGTTGGCCTGATACGGTGTTTCCAGGAGCCCTAACTCACCTTCCAGGTTCTTACACCCAAACACTACAGACTGTTCTCCACTCTGGCCCCCAAGGCAGCCAAATCCCCAGAGCACAGACTAGATCCCAGTTCTTTCCTTGCTCTCCTTCCCCACCAGGCCCTACCATTGGCTATACACAGGCCCTGCACCAGGCCATGGGGGTCCCCATACCCAGATGCATGGTCTATAGCCCTTCCCCAGCCCCCAGTGTACCCTCATCTCTCTCTCTACCTAGGGTGAATGAATCTGTCAGCCCCACTTTGGGGTGCTCCACCTTTGCCTGGAACCAAGGGGGATCTCAGGGGAATACCTCAGCTTGACTGCAGGTGACATTTCTGTCCCCTTCTTCTGCCTCTTCTTCTGTGAAGAATGGCACTCCATGGTCACCCGGGGCAAGAATGCTCAGTGGAAAAGAGCCTTTCTCAGCTGATTTCTGGGGAACCTCTCCCCCAAGGTCCTAAAGCCAGTTCTCACTGACAGTGAGGGACCGATCATTTCCCTTTTCAAATGGGCTACCAGGAGACCCAGGGCTATGGTTCCTGGTCCATCCTCCTACTCTCTGTGCTGTTTATCCTTTGTTTCTCTGTGTTCACTCAAGGCTTTGGAATGCTCAGGCTAACCCTGCTGCGCATGTCTGTTACGACAACATGCCAACTCTAGCAGAGTCTCCTTCAGCAGCATCCCTGTAGCCCCTGACACGGCCGCCGACAGCACAAGGCTGCCTCAAGCGGGGAAAGGCAGGGCTAGCAAGAGCCAAGACCCAGATGGTGTGATGCTTGAGTCCCTTCTGGCACCAAGAGTCTGGTGGTTGGTGGTAAAGGGACATGAATGAATCCCCTTGGGCTCTGATGTCCACTGCTTTGATTATAGCCCCCAGGCAGTGCTTTAAAGTAATTAAGCCTGAAGTGACAGAAATGCCTGAAGATCACAGGACAGGCTGGGGACATTGCTTTGTATGTGAGGTTGTGAGGTTGGGTCTGGCCACAAATAGCCAGATTGCTTGGGACCCATGACCCATGAAGAGGTCCACATTTTGGCTAGCTGTCTCACTCCCCACGTGAATGTAGTATTCTGCCACTGTGCCCAAGTGCTAGGGATCTGAGACAAGCCTATCACTTTTCTTTTTTCCAGACAGGGTTTTCCATGTAGCCCTTGCTGTCCTTGAACTCACTATGTGGACTAGGCTGACCTCAGACTCACAGATGTCTGCCTGCCTCTGCCTCCGGAATGCTGGAATTAAAGGTGTTTTTCACCACTGCCCAGCTCCATCTTAACATTTTCACAAGACCCAGGGACGGTTCAGCTCTGCTCCACTCAAGTGAGCTGGCATGGTTTGCAGCCTGGGGGCTGTGCATCCTCTCTTCTGCCATGTGGCAATTTGTTCCAGGCGGGAGGGCAGTGAGTCAATGTGCTCAAAGCTCGTGGATGTAGGAACTGCCCTCTAGTGGCAGATGGACCTGAAGGGACTTCTCAGGAAGGAACTGTGGCTGCTCTCACAGGCTCAGGATGTTGTGAACACTGGACCTCTGGGCAGCTGAGGGCAGTCTGGCTTCAACCCAGCTGGCTCTGGCTGGCCATCTCCTCACTGTGACGCATGTCCTGTGCACTTGGAACTGGGAGTGGGTGGTGGAACTCTGTTCTCTTGGGCCTGGGATCAGAGCAGTTGTCATCACCCAAAGGAGACCCTTGAGGGACTAGGCCTGTTAACTTCCCATGTAGGGGAGGGATACCAAGGTAGGAGGGTCACTTGACCCACCTGAGTTCCCAGCTACCCTTCCCTCCTGCCTCTTCAACCATGGGCACAAAATACTTGGCAAGTCAGACATTTCTGCACAATGATAAAAAATTAGAAGTAAAATGTGTAGCATGGTGGTGGTGGTGCACACCATTAATGCCAGCACTTGGGAGGCAGAGGCAGGCAAAACTCTTGAGTTCGAGACCAGCATGGTCTACAGAGCGAGTTCCAGGACAGCCAGGGCTACACAGAGAAATCTTGCCTAGAAAAACAAAACCTAAACAAATAGAAAAAAACATGTTAACAAATCCTAGTTGTTTCCTGGTATCACACAGCACAACTTCCTTGCAGCCTTGGTTCTGAACACACATGCATAACACACTGTGCATGCCCCCCCATGCTCTGAACACACTGTGCATGCCCCCCCATGCTCTGAACACACTGTGCATTCCCCTGCCACATAGTATGCAACCTGAAACACCCTGGCTCAGAGCCAGATATTATCCGTCTCAGTGCTTTATTTATTTTGGTTTTTTTGAGACAGGGTTTCTCTGTGGAGCCCTGGCTGTCCTGGAACTCACTCTGTAGACAAGGCTGGCCTCTGCCTCCTGAGAGCTGGGATTAAAGAGTCTTAAGCCTTAAGATAGTTTGCAGAAAATAGGCTTTCAGTGTTTTCTGGCCCCCTCAGTTTCTCAGCAATAAGGTCACAAATCCATGGACTGTGCTGCATTAGATGGTCATGAATAGGCAAATCTGTTTCAATCTTTAATAAATGGCAACATTATATGTATTTAGAATAGTTTAAAAATAAATTTATTATGATCTAGTATATATTTTATCTGTAAACCTCTTTTATACATCTCTATACCCAGAGCTGTGTAAAAGTTACTTGGATGCAAAGGGGTTGTGGGTGAGGAGTTCCAGAGGTTGTGGGCGGGATAGCCCAGGAGGCAGAAGGTGGACTCCACATGGCTCCTATGAAGTCCCCAGTGAACTCACTGCTCACTGAGTTGGGCTTGCGTCAAATCCTCTCTGGCTGATCAGTGCCCTCCCTATGGGACATCCATGGGCAATTCTTTATGGTCCCCAGGAAAAGTCACCTAAAGGGAGTTGGGCATGTGCTCTGATGGTGACATGGGTCCAGACACAAATGCTTAGTTACTGTGTTTCCAACACGCTGACTGAGACAATCCAGTGAGAAGGAACTTGACCTAGCTGCTGACACTGAGGGACAGCACGTGGTTGTTGAAAGCCCACAGAGGTTATGGAGCAGCAGCCTCTTGTAGCTCACTCATGAGTCCAGCCCTCACTGCAAGCCCCCAGCTGGGTTTCCCTGCAGGCAGGTGAATTACATCCAGGCTGCACTGCAGTGGCCTCCAAACTGAACATGTAGGAGAACACCATCACCACACCAGAGAATCCCAGCTGATGGAGAAAGTCAGCATGGGCTAGTCTCTGAGATTTTCACTGATAGAACAATAGAATCTGTCCACAGCCACCTTAGGGCCACATAGGTGGGAGTGGCCCCCGGAGCTGTTTCAGGGAGACCATGTTCAACTCTCAAGGCACCAGGACTGCTTATAGGCAGGAGGATGGGGGGGGGGAGGCTTCCCAGGACTTTGGAAGAAAGTCCTCAAGGCAGATGAGTGCTGGTGACCTGCTTGCTTCCACAGCTGTGAGAGGAGGTAACCAGTGTGTCCTCAGGACCCCAGCCACCTCTTTCCATTAGGAGAGTAGTTGCAGCACCTGCCGGAGGCGCTCCATCTTCCCCAGCTGTGTCTCTCTGGTCTCCGTGTCAGCCTCATCGAGCTCCTGCATCAGGGCCTCAGCCTTCCGGACCGTCAGCTCACGGGCACTGCCCTTCAGTCCCTCGAGGTAGTCCAGCAGGGTAGAGAAGTGCTCGTCAGGAACCTGGGGCAGGGGAGGACAGTACTGAGGACCAGGGTGTGGGGACCCTGAGCAGTGGCAGGCAAGGTGTTCACATGGGGACCAGCAGCAGTGGGACACTGGGATTTCTCCTTGTGTTTGCCTGGGTGTCCAATCTATGTCATTGTCACAATTGGGGTCTCCCAACAGAGCTGTACACAAGGGACCCCAGACCAGCCTGCTGCTACTCTGTCAGGACAAGAGGTGGGGAAATAGTGGAAAAGAGGCCAGTATGCTGGCATGACCCTCCTGTGCCTCAGACACTCCCTATATACATTTTAAAACTTTTTTTTGAGGCATCATCTCTAGCTCAGGCTGGTCTTGAACTCACTAAGTAGCCAAGGATAACCCCAAAGTCCTCATCCTTCTCGCTCTCCGCAGCAGTGCTGGGATTACAGGTGTGCACCCCCACACCCTGTTTATGCAGTGCTGGAGATGGAACCCAGGGCCTTGCCCACTAGGCAAGCGCTCTACGTACCCACTGAGCCCTAGCCCCAGCTTCTGACTTTGTGTCTATTTCTATTTCAAGATCATCTGTTTTCAGTACACCCACTTGAAGCCCTTCTACAGAGGGCAGACCCACATAGCAGGTGCAGGCCTGTGCCTGAACGTGGGGGGAGCTGACTGGCACAGCCCTCTATGACAGGCAGACACTTAAGGGAGCTGCCTGGTGGGAAGCAGTGGAGCCGCCCTGGGGGAGGGGTATGAAAGTCCTGCAGGACAGAGGGCTTATGGGAGTTCACCACTCACAGGGCAGCTTTAGGCCCTAACTTAGCTGTGGGCCTCTGCTTCCAAATTCCATCTCATCCCAAGGAACAAAACCCTGCCTTGAGAAGAGCCTGGCACATCTACACTCTTGCACAGGCTGGTGGCACTGAGGACAACACAGGGATCAAGGGTCCTGGCAAACATGGGTGGAGGGGTGAGGAAAGACACCACACTGTGTGGGACCACAAGACATCCTTCCCAGGCTGCACCTCTGCCCGCAGGGGTCCACATAACCTACATGTGCACAGAGTCCCTCACCTGGGGCTTGCCTGCTGTATAGGAACCCTGTCACTTAGGTGGGCTACCCTCTGTGCAAGGACCCCATCTATATGCCTGCCTGCCTGCAATACAAAGATAGGCCTTGCCACTTGGGAGACCCAGCCCCTAAGCAGGTATCCTGGCTGGGTGTTCCTGCCATGCAGGAACCTCGCTTAGATGAGCATCTGTGCATGGGCCCTGTCACTTCAATGTCCTACCACCCATGAAGGGGCCCTGGCTGTCTACTGTGCACAGACCTTGTCCTCATCATACATGTTCATCAGGAGCCACGTCTGCCTCGTCTTCTGGAATCTCCAGCTCTCCTGCTTCTGGGCCCACCTGCGAACCAAGAGCAATATCTCAGGGTAATGGAGGACAGTCCCAGGGGCTCTGGGAGACCACATCACCTGCGAGCATGTGGTGGTGGAGTCTGGCTCAGGGGGATGTGCCGCCTCAGCACGCCTACTGTGGGTTCCCTCGGACCATCTGTGGTACCTACATTTGTAACATCAGGGATACAGGACCAATTCCCAACTCTATAATTCAGCCATTTTACTACTTTAAAGCGAGCATTCTAAGTTAGTTTCTTTAATTCTTTTTTTTTTTTTGAGACAGCCTTAAATAGCCAAGCTGGCCTCAAATTCACTATGTAGCCAGGCTCATCCCCCTGCCTCATCCTCTTAAGTGCTGGAATTACAGAAAGTGTGACACATGCCTGGCTCAATTATTTTTTTCCTTTGCATTTCCATGTGTACATCATGGTGTGTGTGTGTGTGTGTGTGTGTGTGTGTGTGTGTGTGCGCGCTCGAGCGCGCACGTGAGCGTGCATGTGGAGGCCTGAGGTTGGGAATCACTGCAATCAGTCTTTCATGTCTCTCTCTCTCTCTCTGTGTGTGTGTGTGTGTGTGTGTGTGTGTGTGTGTGTGTGTTTGAGACAGGGTTTCTCTGTGTAGCCCTGGCTGTTCTGGAACTCACTTAGATCCGCCTGCCTCTGCCTCCCATGTGCTGGGATTAAAGGTGTGTGCCATCAGGGCCTGGCAAAGCTGGAGTTTGCCAATATGGTAATTCTCCCTAGCCAGTCTGGTCTGGAGATCCCCTCCACCTCCTGAAAATGGAATTACAGGCAGGCCTCCACACTTTTCGTGAGTTCTGGGGATCCACAGTCTGATCCTCCAGCTCTCTGGTTCATTAATTCTTCACTGACGTTTCTGCCTAGGCCTGTGAGGTTCTGGAGTATATCATCATTAGCTGGGATTTCCTGGCAGTCCCCTGAATGACTATGCATGACCCTCAGCCTACCTACAGGTCTCTACATCCTCCTGGGCAGAGGGACCAGCAGGGAAGGCCTAAGCTGGAGGCCCAGGCTCCCACCTCAGGCCCTTGCTCTCATAGCTGCTGCATGGGGCTCACAGGCTGCCCACTGAAGTCACAGTTCCCACTCACCTCAGGACTGAGCTGGGCTCTACCTACCACCTACTTGAGGGTCAACCAAGTCCAAGGAGGAACTCGGGTTGTGTGAGGATCCCAGGACAATCAAGGGATACGTTTTCTGACTTGTGTCCTGTTTTAAAGTCCCTACACATGCATCCTTCCATCACTCTCACATACCCTGAGTTCCTGAGAATGGCTTTTCGAGAGCAGGAGGATGCAAAGAGCCACGATCAAAGTGGAGACAGGACTCCAGGCTGGGAAAGTTGGCTAGAGGTCATAGACAGACCAGAACCACTCAGGCTGCACTCCAGAAATCTGAAATGGCAGGGCTGGGTTAGTCTGAGCCCAGTGGACTCCAGCATGGGAAGGCAGGGGCCATCTGACAGAACAAAGACATCCCCAGGTCTGCCCTGTGTCCCCAGACACTCTGTGGTTATGGAGAGTGATGCTGCACTGTGCTGTCTTTGATACAAAGGTAGAGAATCCTGAGGAGCCAGTATAAGCACACACCAGGCTTGGGAGGAAGTACAGGGACCTGCCAACATTCCAGAGGCGGTAATGCCACTGGGTTTGGTCCACAGTCCTGCCAGAGACATAGTAAGGCCTACAATGAAGGCAGATCTGATTTCCGGAGGGGACCACACTAAGGCCCATTGTCCTCTGTGATCTTGCAGAAGGTTCTGGGACCAAGGCTTCCTGTGGCATATGAACTATGGGTGGAAATCTCCTTCTAACCCATGTCCTCTCCTGTACCCTTGCCTGCTCTAAGTTATCTTTATGAGCCAGGAGGAACACTGGACACAATGAGAGACCACTCTCTAGTTCATGGGTTCTAACACCCCTTCATCCCAGGAAAGCTCAGCTGACCAACCACAAGGACTCCTGCTAGAGGCCTGGCTTACAAGTGAAGGGTAGCCTCCTGCCTCTGCAGCTCCTGCAAAGTCACCTCTCCACAAGGCTCTATCTGGGTCCCTCTGATCTACCTAAAAGCTGACGTGACTCAGAGACAGGCCCCTCTAGACACTAAGGTTGCTGCCATGCCCATCTGTGGGCGTGGCCTCCGGCATGGAGGCTGCTGAGTCTCTGTTTTCTGCCACATGTGGACATGATGTCTCTGGCTGTGTCACTCTTCTCCACCATAATGAAGTGTGGCCCCAAACAAGCCCTTCGTCAGATGTCATGCCTTAACAACACCCACCAGGGAAGGAGCTGGAATGACAGCCAGGAGATAAGAATACGTATGCTCCTCTTCCTGGAACTCCAGCTCCAGGAACTCAGACACGTCTATCCCCTGGCCTCCACGAGCACATGCTCTCACATACGCATGCACACAGCCCAGCCAAGATCGGGGTGTGTCTGCAGGCTGGGCACACGGTGGCCACAGGACACGCCCACAGGGTAAAAAGCAGAGGGGAAGTGGCTGAGGGCAGTTCTGTGGATACTGAATAAGCAGGGCAGGGGCCTCCCCAACACCGGTCAAGGGGTGACTGGGCTGGACCATCCACCCATTCCCCACCTGCCACAAGGGACCAGCCTCTCCCCAGAACCATGGCAGAGGCAGAATGTTCTAGATTCAGCCCACAGCATTGCTTACCCTTGGAGATACTCCAGGGCCAGAACGGCAGCTGAGGGCTTGGCTGGCAGGGTCTGACCCTTGGCTGTCTGAGCCGCAGCTATGCCAGCCTCCCGCAGCCGCTTTTTCTCTTCCTTTTTCCGTTCTTTCTTCAGCTTCCTTTCCAAGACTCTCCTCTCCTCCGGGGTCAGTTCAGGGCTGGCTTCCTGTACCTGAAAGTCAATGACAGGCTGTCAAGCTGGGTGTGGATGCAGCCCCAGGACAGTGTGCCGCTAGCCCACCCCTTGTCACAGTCCACAAGAGGCTCCAAAGACGGTCATATGTGGGAGGTATGTATGGTAGGAGAATTCAGTTCAGGTGCTGGATCTACCCAACAGTGGACTAAGCACAGTTCCACTCTTCAGTTTCCTGAGCCCTGTGCAGTGACCACAGCAGCCACCAGAGGGCAGCAGTCACACGGACGGACACCTTGCCTGTTCTGGCAAGTCCTGTCTGCTGGCTCCAGTGTGTTCTGAAAACCCAGGTGGGGGCTGGCATGGTCTCCATTGGCAGTGACACCTCTCAGTGAAGTCCCGCTTGGGAGCTCAGTTGTGGCGGGGCACTGGCTTCATGGAGCGCCACTTCTTTTGGCATCTTGCCGAGGAAGCCCACGCCTACGCCACCCCCTCCCCCCCAGCAAACCGGAGGATGGCACTGGGAGTCATTCAGCAGTGCCAGCACGGTCAGCCCACTTCATCTTTCCTGGAAAAAGCATAATCAGTATTGACTCTGATGTAGCTAGCGGCCCGGAAAGGGTGTGGGGACATGGTGAGGGACCCAAGTACACTACCCCAGCCTTTCCAGGAAGGGCGAGCTCCCCCATGAGTCTAGGTTGCCACTGGTCCCACCCCCAGGACAGACAGAGTAACAAGATAGTGCAAACAGAAGCGCTTCCTCCTCCCTGGGAACCCCACACCCAGTCCTGCCACAGGAGACCAACATCTGCTCAAGTAAGAGCAGTTCCTCCTCAGTCTACAGAGAAGGGACAACGGGGGCTCCAGAGACTACAGCAGGGCATCTCCCCCAACACAGTAGCCTTTGCCTGCGGCCCAAGACAAACTCTTGCTTTCCTCCCCCACAGTCACCCTGTACTCCTCAGCTGGAGAGGCCCTAATCTGAGGAGCCTTTGTGGGGAGGGTGCCTGAGAGCCCTCTGGGGACAAGGAAAGAGCCTGGGGGGGGGTAACTGGGGCCCTGGAAGTAGAAGGGGAGCCTGATTGCCTTGGCTACCACCTCCAAAGGGCTCTGGCCAGCTCCCTGGCTACTGCCTAGGTCCCAGAGGCTGTGTGTGTGTGTGTTGTGTGTGTGTGTGTGTCTAAGTGTTGTATAAACTGCCCTGTGGCAGGCCTGCCTCTGATCCTACAGGCACGTGGGCGGCACAGCACCACCAGGGCCAAGGTCCAGCCAGGGAACGGGCAGGGCAGTGGGGCAGTTAGACGGATGATCTGGGGAAGTTGGGAAGCATCAGCCTCCCATTGTCTGCTGGGCATAACCTCAGCACCTCCCAGGCCCAGGATTCTGGTCTTGGCTAGGGCTATTGCCTTCTGACCCTGGGGCTGAGCCTGTCACCCAAACTAGAAGTTCTGATGGTTCTCTGCCCCCATGTGCCCTTCAAGGAAGGAGAGTCATGGCCCCTGGACTTAGTTGGTGCAAGACAGCCCCGGTGCCACTAAGAACAAAATGGTAGAAAGAATCCGGTCTGCTCAGGCCGCTCTCCAGCAGACTCCTTTAACAAACACTGCAGGAACCCACTCAGATAAGTGTCTGCATGAGGCTCTGGCCCACAGGCAATCCAAGTGTCAGGGGAACTGAGTTCACATCGAGCTACACTTCGGTCCCCCACCCTGTCCCTGCTTGGGAATCAGAGTCCCTTGTTACGCAACTTCCCTCATCTTCAGAAAGTACAAGAATAGATTCCTACTTCTGCTACACAGGCCCTGATTCCTCTCTCCAGAGACCCCGCCATGGGGCCGCTTGTCTGTCCATGATGCTACTTACACACAGCTCTTCGAACCCAGCCCTCCCACTACAGCAATCCATCTCAGGGCTCCCCTGGGACCTATTTCAGTGTCACCCCCCTTACCTACCAGTGCCCCTCCACTGGACCTCTGAGGGAGGTCATCCTGGCCTCTGTGAAGTCTGTAGAGGGAGCCCTACCTGTAGCCATTGAAGTCATTGCTGTCACTGTCTGTGTCATCAGGAATTGATGAAAAGTGAATGACACATCAGAATTAAGTCAACAGGAGCTGGGGCTGTAGCTCAGTTGGTACAGCGTTTGCCACGCATGAGGGCCACTGGCTTCTAGTTCCCACACTAGGCATAAACTAGGCAAGATGGAGCTCACCTGCTACCCTAGTACTTGGGAGTGGGAGGGAGAACAGAAAGTCCATGACAGGGCACCGGCCACAGCCTGAGCTGGGAGAGAAGTCCTCATTATCCCCCCAAGACTCAAGAACTCAGAGCTCTTGGATTTGAGGACAGGCTCCATGTGCATGTCTTTCCGCAGCTGGAAGACCCGGGGCCCATCAGTCTGTATGCTAAGTGTGCACTCCCTGCTTGACACCCTTTTATTTTTCAAAACACAGCATAACTAATACTCGGGAGCATCGAGAATCCAAAGCTAGGCTGGGATCTGCAGCCAAGTCGGTCTCAAAACTAAACAAAACTCCCAAAGGTGAGTTGCATGGCCCCAGGCCCGGCGCCACACTGCTCTGTGGGGTCCTCTTCTTGGGGGTCACTGAGGTCAGGTGTAGGGATGAACACAGGTGAGGGCGACCCTCTCTTGTCTCCACCCCATTTATGTGAGCGGAGCAGCTGCACTGGGCCACGACAGAGTGGCAGGGACTCCGGCCACTCACACAAGACAGAGTGGTGCCAGGTCATATTTCGACCCTATACTCAGGCAATGTCTGTATGTCTCCTAACACCCTCTACTTGTTCACCAGACACTGGGAATGCTGTAGGTATGCATGGCCTACGGGTGACAGTGATGGCTGAGGGGAGGGACATGAGCCCTGCAGAGGCTGAAGGAGCTGGACGGCAAGGCCAGCAGACTCTGGTGTAGACACAGGAAGTCTGTTCCCACTTCCCTACAGAGTCCCCTCCCCTCCCCCAGAAATGTGCAACCCTGAGGGCCCATTCCAGTTCGCAGACCTCGGTGGACTATTGTCCAACTATGCACACACACACACACACACACACACACACACACACACACACACACACACAGAGCACACTCTTCTGAAAAAGCAAAACCAAACAAAAACAAGAGCACAACAAAAGAATGAAGAATGAAGAGGGAATGTGTTTTAAATGAAGCTTTTTATTTGGAGATAATTACTAAAACAAGGGTGGATGTGGGATGTGACACAGGGACACTAAGTGCCAGGCCACTCGGTGTCTTTAACCATGGCCACACATGGCAGACTCAACTGGTGTTACACAGGACACACACATAGGGAAGTACCACGAAGGCTCACTCTCTCACTTCCTTCCCTCCTCAGGGTTTGCTTAGATTAAGATGATTAAGACGCCACTAGTGTCTGTACTTTGTGTCACTGCTGCACAGAGGGCAGGAGTGGAGGTTTTGTTGATTAGGATGAGGGGCGGGCCACCCTCTGTCCCTTTGCCTGAAGGTCACAACCAGTCCCTGCCACCTATATCCTACACATGGGCTGGGTGGGGGAGCGGGGAGGGGTACATGAGATACACACATGCATGCACGCATGATGCTAGCCAGGCTCCTACCCAGGTGCACTCAGGAGTGGCAGAAAGTAGTCAACAGGCAGGGCAAGGGGCCCCAGTGAGACGGGGAGGTCTCTGATCAGACACCCACGGTACAAGACCCTGAAGTGACAGAGTGGGCTCTGAGATGACAAGGACGCTGCACACAGCTTTCTATATAGGTGAGCAAGACAGAACTCCATGCAAATGAGGGAGGCAGGCAGATACAGACCAGCCTGCCACTGCCACTGCCCACATAACTGAATGTTCCCGGTCCAGGAAGAGCCTGCTGGCACAGAACCTCCACACTGCTTCCCTGGAGTTGCGGCTCAGGTTCCTTTGCTGGATTTCAGCTGCAATCTGCTTCCTCACTAGTCCAGGACCCTTTTAAGGAAATGTCTCAAGAGGCTGCTCAGGCCTCTCTTTTGCAGCCCCTTCCAGTGGGCTTCTTTCTAGCCTGTCCAGGCACCTATGGCTGTTCCCACATGCTGGCCCATGCTGGCCTGGAGCTCCTGGCTCCAGAGCCCCCAGCCCCAATGCATCCTCCAGTTCTGGTTGACCCTGTGGGTAGACAGACAAGTCCTTTCATTTTGGTCTCCTCTGGTACAGTGGCTGTGTCCACATGCAAAACTGCCTAGTGGACTCCTAAGTGACATTAGGCTCATGGAAGCTTTCTTGTGCCCAAGGAAGGCCATTTCTCCTGCCACAGTGGGTCCAGCAACACTCTAAAGGTCAAATAGCTTTGTTTACCTGTGCAAAGCGACTCCATAGGAATCCAAAACTGCACTGTTTTTACAGCAGAAATGTGTCGACAGCTCTGGGTCAATGAGGGCAGAGATGACTAGACAAATACAGAGGCACAAATCGAGCACGCACATACACACGATCCTTCTAGTTTGTGCTGATCTTGCTATTTTAATGCAAACCGGACTCCTAAAGTTTGAAAAGTCTATTAGGCAAAGTAACACAGTCATCCAAGGTACGGGTTCATATAGCTACAACTGCGCACAGAAAGACTATCAAACACCAGGCTCCTGTGTTAGCTGGGCAGCCTGTGACCCTATTCCTTCCGCTCCTGGTTTGGTCACATTACAAGTTCTAGCCTGTTAACACAGACTGCAAAGTCTCACCTCTGGGCCCTAACCTCACTACCTTCACCCTAGACTTCAGGAGTTCCTGCAAGAACATCTGCCCCCTGGGAGAAGAAACAGGCTACTGAAGCAGGCAACAGGGGCGTCAACATTACACAGAGACTTCATTAAGTTTGTTGTTATCGCCGGCCGTTGGTGGCGCACGCCTTTAATCCCAGCACTCGGGAGGCAGAGGCAGGCGGATCTCTGTAAATTCCAGACCAGCCTGGACTACCAAGCGAGTTCCAGGACAACCTCCAAAGCCACAGAGAAACCCTGTCTCGAAAAACCAAAAAAAAAAAAAAAAAAAAAAAAAAAAAG